GGGTCGGGGGAGGGGCGGCGCCCGGCGCAGCGTCGAGTTTCCCAGAATTCCCAGCGGCGCGGGGAAAGTTTACGGGACGTAGGCGGCGGCGGCGGCAGTAGCGGTTACTCCGCGGCCCGCGGCGCACCATGGCCCTGGCCGGATGTGTTCGGCCTCGCCTCACCGCGTCCCGGGGCACCGTCGCGGAGCGAGCCGACTTTCGGGACGGAACGGACGTGCGACCGAGTAGCGGCCGGCGCGCTTAGCGCCTTGAACATGCGGCTGTCCCTGCGGGCGACCCCGAGCTGCGGAGAAGCGGCGGCGGCGGCGGCGGCGGCGGCTCGGGAGCGAAGGCGGCGCCGGCGGAAGGTGGCGGCGTTGGCCGGCGCCTGGCGCGGAGCCCTGAGGAGGCCCCCTCGGTGCGGCCTCGGGCCTCGTCGGGAAGGATGCTGTCCCGCAAGAAGACCAAAACCGAGGTGTCCAAGCCGGCCGAGGTGCAGGGCAAATACGTGAAGAAGGAGACGTCGCCGCTGCTGCGGAGTGAGTGTCGCGCGGCGGGGCGCGCCCGCACCTGGGACTGGCGCGGGGGGGGGGGACGGCGGGGACCCCGTCGGTGGGAGGGAGGGCGGAGGGGGGAGGCTGGGGAGCGTCTTCCTCCTGGGTTCCTGGGAAGTAGATGTTCTTTGCTTCTTCCTGTGCTCCAAGTGTCGTTTGATCGAAAGGGCGTAGGAAACGGGGTAGCACCCTTCCGCTTCACCCCTAAAAACAACAGCCACCACGGCCCCAAGTGTTCACGCCTGGCCAGGCTGCGAGTAAGGAGTCCAGGGGATCGATGGCATCCCCACTCCCCGGTGCTGCAGGAGTAAACCGCGAGGCCCGGGCACAGCCCCGGGTTCTCCGTTCGCAAACATTGCGGGCGTCCCTCGCCCGGTGCCCCGAGGAGGGGGAAGCACGCACCCAACTCCTCGTCCGGTCGCGCACGCCGATCTGAGACCGTGACCAGCGGTGGCAGCCGACCCGAAGCCCGGGGACGCCCGTAGATCCCAGACCGCACGAACCCGTACCCGATCCCAGGGTAGATTCCAGCCAGGCAGAGGATCCAACCTCGGGCTGCTTTTGCCAACTTCTGGGAAGTTACCCAGAAGTCCGTCCCCCCTCCCCCTTCACTGGGAGGAAACTCCTCCAGCCTTTCGAAATGTTTTTGACTCTTGATTTTCGACCCAGATTTCTTGTCATTTTAATGTTGTAAAGCGTTCGGGGTATTTGGGACGGGGAGAGCCTGATGTTTTGGTCTTGGTTCCTGCGAGCTGGGCTCTTTGTGTAAGTTTCCTTCTTGGAAGCAAGTCGTAACCTTGTGACTTAAGCATTACCTCATTTTGTAATTGGGAAGGCTGCTCGCAGAAGTTCTAGTCTTTGCCCAAGATCGCACAGAAAAAGGGGTGGAGAGCATAGTTTTCCATTATCACCACATCCTCAGCTTTCTAGGTTTATTGTAGGTTTAGTGTTTTCAACAAAGTGTATCAGACCCGTTCTGTCAGAAACTTGAAACTTTTTAAAACGCTGTTTTTAACAGCTGGTTTTCTTTCTGCCCGGCATGGTCTTTTTTTTTTTTTTTTTAGGCATTTTTAAGTGGTAGTTGTTTTTCTGCTGCAAATAAAGTTAGTTGAAGCCATGACTGATAAATTCTGTAATTGAAATCCTGAAAAAACATCAAATTGTTAAATTAACTGATGCATTATTTTATGTCAAGTGTTGCGCTGTATTTATTCCAGTACTGTTGTTTAGTGTTGGCTGCTGAAGCTTATTATTGAGTGCCTATAGCATTACTTAAGTAAATTAATGAGCTTCATACTCAAGAATGCCTATAATCTATTGTCTCTGAGTTCAGTACTGCTATATCCAGAAAGCTGTTACATTCTGTTTTGAATTATAACTGTGTGTGTGTGCACGCTCATATGTGCTTGTCTACCAGTTCTGGGGCTTGAAGTCAGGCCAGGGTACTGATCCTTTGCTCTTAACGTGAAGGCTTGCATTCTACCACTTGATCCACAGCTCCACTCTCAGCTTTTTGGTATTTAATTGGAGGTAAGAGTCTCATGGGCTCTGAACTGGCTTTGAACTGTGATCCTAAGATCTTAGCTTATGGAGTAGCTAATATTACAGATATGAGCCATTGGCACCCAGTAATAATTTGTTTTTAGAGAAGCCATAGTCACCGATTTGTCATTAAAAAAAAATCTCATTCAGTATTCATGTGCCTCTTTGAAATGAGATCTCTTAATTTTAAATTTCATAACTAAATATTAGGCTTTCCAGTTTTTTTGGGGGGGGGCTCTGGTCATGGGGCCTGAACTCTGGGCCTGGGCACTGTCCCTCAGCTCTTCAGCTCAAGGCTAGCACTCTACCACTTGAGCCACAGTGCCACTTCTGGCTTTTTTCTTTTTGCATTATGTGGTGCTGAGGAATGGAACCCAGGGCCTCGTGCATGCAAGGCAAGCGCTCTACCACTGAGCCACCTTCCCAGCCCAGGCTTTCCAGTTTTGATTACTGTATCAATGCTAGTAATTAATCCCAAAAGTCAATTACTAACTTTAAAATTTTTTCAAAGAAATATACCTTTACATATTTAGGAAGAAGTATTTTCTATTTGAAGTTGTGTTTGTATGAAGAAGGATTTGGGGGCACTTTCTAAAGTAAAGTGAAAACAACAAAACTATTCTATATTATTGCTGATTACTATGAATTGATGTATTAGATTATTTTCTATTTTTACACATTAGTGTCAGGCACTTGGGGCTCGTGCTTGTAATCCTAGCTACTCAGGAGGCTGAGATCTGAAGACTGCAATTGGAAGCCAGATTAGAAAGAAAAGTCTTTGAGACTTCTATCTTTAGTTAACCAGAAAAAAGCTATAAGTGGACATGTGGTTCAAATGGTAGAGTGAGCACAAAAACCAAGCTAGGTTCTGAAGTTCAAGTTCTAGTGTCTAGGCACGCACATACATGCACACATGCCTACACATTAATTGATGTAGTTCATTTATAAATAAGCTAATTGACGTTGCATCATATTGATTCTGGTTGAGCTTACATATAGCACATTTGTGCGAATTGTAAATTTATTTGGGAAAATCTTACTCAAAATCCTTTCTTAAATGAAAATTTGTAAGTATGTTTTCTTCAGTCCATTAGATATTTTGATTTTGGTGTGGCAGATATAAGTAAGCAACTTTAGAGAAGTTATATTTAGTATTTATTAAAATGATGACTTTACTGTGTTTTATTACAGATCTCATGCCATCATTCATTCGACATGGCCCAACAATTCCAAGACGAACTGATATCTGTCTTCCAGATTCAAACTCTAATGCCTTTTCAGCTTCTGGAGATGGACTAGTATCAAGAAATCAGAGTTTCCTAAGAACTCCCATTCAAAGAACACCTCATGAAATACTGAGAAGAGAAAGCAACAGATTATCTGCACCTTCCTATCTTGCCAGGAGTCTAGCAGATGTCCCTCGGGAGTATGGCTCCTCTCAATCATTTTTAACAGAAGTTAATTTTGCTGTTGAAAATGGAGACTCCAGTTCTCGGTATTATTATTCAGATAGTTTTTTTGATGGTCAAAGAAGGCGGCCACTTGGTGAACGTGCACATGAAGACTACAGATATTATGAGTACAATCATGATCTTTTCCAAAGACTGCCACAGAATCAGGGGAGGCATGCTTCGGGTAACTTGACATTATAACTGATACCTTAGTTTATATTTATTGATTTATACATAAAAATAGTTTATACATTTATTGATGATACTTTTTCTTGGGAAACCAACAAATAATGTTAGAGATTTTTTTTTTCTATTTTCTATTTTACCAGTCTTGTGTAAGCCTTTTTGTAAGTAGTTACACTGAATGACAGAATTCTTCCATTAACTCAAGTTACATAAAATTGTCACCTACCTTAATGACATCTAGACTATTAACATTATGAGCCCTCATTGCATGGAGAATTAGTGTCTCTAATTGGATTGAATTTAGATTTAGGTTTGTTAGAATGGGAAGGTTCTTCAGAGGATTGGACTTAAACTTGGGAAAGGAAGAAAGAACGGGAAGAATTGGGTAAGCACAGTATGCTATGGGCAACTACATTACTTAGTAATCTTGCACTATTTCTCTAAATGTAACTTTTCAGTCAGATTGATTATCAAGTGGCTAATTATGTATTGAATATGTCTTATTGGTTCTCGTAATAGACAAATGTATTAATCATCTAATTTAAAATCTGCTTTTCTGTCTGGGAAGGTGGCTCAGTGATAGAGCGCTTGTATGCATGAGGCCCTGGGTTTGATTCCTCAGCACCACATAAGCAAAAAGAAAAAAGCCTGAAGTGGAGCTGTGGCTCAAGTGTAGAGCGCTAGCCTTGAGCTAAAGAGCTGAGGGACAGCGCCCAGGCCCAGAGTTCAGGCCCCATGACTAGACTCCCCCCCAAAAATTCTGCTTTTCTGATCTTTTGACTTGGAGACAATACTATGAGGAGGAGAAGAGATTAGAGGAATGTTACAGTTATGCTCTATTCCTTATATTAGATAAATTAACACAAACTGAAAATTAAACTTTCTTATCTGATTTTTTCTACCTATTCAATTGTAAGGTTTAAATTTGACAAGATAAATATTTTTTAAAAAGTGAGATAGATGTCCCTTTTAGCTCATCTAATTGCAAGTAGGAACATGAGGTTTTTGACTATAGAAAACTTGAATTCATTTAGTATTATGTGTCTATTATTTTCTTGGAATACCTTATGTATCTAATCACAAAACCAATATATACACAATAATCACAGAATGTCTAATGGTGGAAATTGTGGTACTAATTGTAACTGAGAGCGAATCAGGAGAGAGATCTGTGTAGGCTGAACACTTAGAAGAGTTATTCATTCAGGAGGTAGGACTAGAACTATGATTTGAGCTTGGAATTTAGATTACAGGGTAAAAGAAAGACATTTTAGATGGAAAATTGGGAATAGCCTGGTGAAAATAAATTAAGGACTGTGTAATGACCTAGCTTGAAGAAATAAGATGTAAGATAAAAATGGAGATTTGTGGTCCAACAACAAGCTGAAGCTTGACTTAAGCAGAAGCGTTGTTGCATTTCAAGAAGGCAAGTGATTTTATGAAAGTGTTTAGAGATTCTAGCAATATTTAATATAGATAGATCCTTAGAGAAAGGAGGATTGCAGATACCTGATGATGGAGATGAAAAGGCATGTCTAAGATGGTTTTTGAAAGGAAAATGACATTTGTGGGTTTGGTAACAAATGTATCACCGAAGGTTTGGAATTTGGAGAATAGTGTGGAGGAGCATCTTATTTTATAAAAACTGACCTTGTGTCTTGGGACATTGAAGTAGCAAGGTTTTGTTTTTGTTTATTGGCATGTAGATACCAGGGTGCTGGTGGCTCATGCCTGTAATCCTAGCTACTCAGGAGGCTGAGATCTGAGGATGTGATTCAAAGCTGCCCAGGCAGGAAAGGCTGTAAGGCTCTTATCTCCAATTACCTATCTGAAAATCAGAAGTGGCAATTTTAGGTAACAGTATTATTTAAAGATTATGAAAGAAATCATAAAAATCAAAATGGGAAGTATCTTGGTTTTATAAACAATACTGGATTTCTGTTTACTGTAGTAAATGCATAAATTAATTTTTGAAAAGAAGTTGGTCATCTCTGGAGAGACACAGCTTTATCTATATTTGGCAGAGGAAGAGGAAAAAACAGTTGGCTTGGTTCAATACTTAGTTCCCTTTGTCAACATCCTGATTATAACAAAGGCTGTGATGCTTAGTATCTATTACTTCAATAGAGTTCTAGGCTCTTTTTTATCCTGTGTAAGCAGTTTAAACCTTGGAAAACATAATTTTTGAGCTTTATTTACAAATATAGATCTCATGGTTACTTGCCTGGATATATGAGATTAAGTTCTTTGAAGTCCTATTTAGTGAAAACTTGGTAGAAACAAAGTAATACTTTATCTATCTTTGGGAAATGTAGTTAATTAGCTTGTGAATGTTTTAATATATTCACAGAGATAAATAATGAAAATGGATATTTTAAGGATTGTGTTTGAATGCCATTTAATCTTTTCTGGGAGTAATTGAAATTACGGGAATGATTTTTTTATTATATATATATTATTATTTAAAAATTAAAGTTTTTATTTTTCCATACTCATTTTAGTTAAAGATTGGTAGCTTATTGTTGGTGGTCCTAGTTTTCTTTAAAAGTTACAGTTGATCTTGTCTTCATATTACATGGTTAGTAATATACTTGTTCTTTACTCTTATACTATCTATGTGGCCTTTGGTAAAATGACTGAAAACTTTTTTTCCTTATCTCTGAATTGGTAGTGATAATACTGCTTCATAGAACCTTTTTGCTGAAAAGAACTTGAAAGGTGGTATGTACGTTTTATTGCATCATTTCTGGTGACATATGACTGATTTCTCGATGTTAAGATTGATTGGATGTCTCATGTCAGCCCATCAAGTTCTCCATCAGCCCTTTGTTATTGGTTTTGGCAATGATCATTGACTAGATGGCTGATTTCATTACATGTTGAAAATTGTGTTACTTGAATTCGGTCATTCCTCTTCCTCCTCCTCCTCTCATCCCCCTCCCGCTCATAATCCCTCTCTCCCTCCCCCTCTTCCTTCTTTTCTCCCTCCCTCCCCTCTTTTCCCCCTCCTCCCTTCCCTCCCTCCCCCCTCTCCCTCCCTCCCTCTCTTCCTCTCTCTCTCTCTCTCTCCTCTCTCTCTCTTTTCTTTTCTTTTTTTTGGCTGTGGGGCCTGAACTCTGGGCCTGGGCACTGTCCCTCAGCTCTTCAGCTCAAGGCTAGGGCTCTACCACTTGAGCCACCACTTTGAGCTTTTTCTGCTTATGTGGTGCTGCGGAATTGAACCCAGGGCCTCATGCAAGCACTCTACCGCTGAGCCATCCTCTCTCTCTCTCTCCCTCTCTCCCTCTCTCCCTCTCTCCCTCTCTCCCTCCCTCTCCCCCCCTCGCTCTGTCTCTCTCCTCTGTCTCTCTCCTCTCTCTCTCTCTCTCTTTTCATGAAGCTTGACTTGGGTCTTGGCATTGTCCCTGAGCTCTTTTGCTCAAGGCTAGCACCCTGTCACTTTGAGCTACAGTTCCACTTCTGGTTTCTCAGTAGTTAATTAGAGATAAGAGTCTTTGCCGGGACTTTCCTGCCTGGGCTGGCTTTGAACCACGATCCTCAGATCTCAGCTCCCTGAATAACTAGGATTATAGGATTGAGCCACTGGCACCTAGCATGTAGCTTCTTCTTATTGGAATTATGAAAACATTTATCTAACTAATGTAGTTAGTTTTTTCCCCTTTATTTGCTATTTTTCAGTATAATAAAGTAGTGTCCTAGCCACTTCTAAAGGTAAGTGATGAGCTTTGTTTTGTCTGATTTTTTTGTTTTTTGTTTTGTTCCCAGTGTTGGGGGTTGAACTCTGAGCTTCATACATGCTCTGCTTGCTTACCAGGCTGGTGCTCTACCATTGAGCCTCCAGCCCTATTTTTTTTTTTGTTGGTCGTGGGGCCTGAACTCTGGGCCTGGGCACTGTCCCTCAGCTCTTCAGATCAAGGCTCTGTTGCTTGAGCCACAGCACCACTTCTGGTTTTCTAGTGGTTTATTGGAGATGAGTCTCACAGAGTTTCCTGCCCGGGCTGGCTTTGAACCGTGATCCTCAGAACTCAGCCTCCTGAGTAGCTAGGATTATAGGAGTGAGCCACTGGCGCCCAGCCCAGTCCTACTTTTGCTGGGTGGTTTTTGGAGATAGTCTCACAGGTATTTTTGCCCAGACTGGTTTTGAATTTTGGTCCTGTGAATTTCAGCCTTGTGAATAGCTAGGATTGATAACAGGTCAGTCCCACCAGTCCTCTGTTAGTGAGGAGTCTTTAGTTTGAGGTAGCTTTATGTTTTGCTTTTAACTTGAAGTTTTATTTGAACTTAATCTTTTTGCACTTTCTGTTTTATTTTATTTATCATATTTCCATAGTCTTCCTGGTCTAGGCTAATTACTCAGGTGTTTAAAACATTTTTTATGACAGAGATGGTTATTGTATCATTAAACTTTGTCAGGTTTCTCTACTATAACGTTACTATTTTCCCCTTTCCACACACTGTTCTTTGGAATGGAGTTACTAACTTAACTGTAAAGAAGGACAGGTGGATTTTGCTTTACCTGCTAGAAGAGGGAATACCTATATATGTGGGATTCTTTTATTAATATCTACATATTGAGAAGGTTTCCCAAGGTAAACTTGCAGATCTTAGGATTTATGTTTCAGTCAATTGCTATGGCAGTTCATTTTGATGCTTAAACTGTTCCTTTGGATATTGGAACCTCATTTTTTTTTTTGGAACCTCATTATAATTGGCTGGTTCACTTTGATCTTTGTTTTCTAATGTGACTCAGTGATTAGAGGTTCTAGATTCCTTTTATGTATTTCTGGTTGTCAAACCTGGAATTAACAATTTATTCAAGGACCACTGGTTCAGTAAAGAAAAGCAGTATTTGGGGAATCATATATGTGTACTTTTACTAAGCCTAGGTAGATTAATGCTTTCAGTCAACATGTTATCTAAGATACCAGTTTTACTTTTTGGAAACATTGTGAATTTATAGTGTAATTTAAATGTAAGATTCACAGGCTTCTATTTTGT